ACGTGTTCACAACCAACCAAATCACCTCGGCGCTGGTGGCGTACCGTTCAGCCGCAGACCAGGACACGGCAACGGCCTCGAGCATCGCAGCCGCGCTGCTCAGCTACTACACCATCGCGCAAGTAGACGGCCTCCTTGCCGGCAAGCTCGGAGTCACGGAGGCGGCCTCGGCCCTGCAAATAGCCGTGCGCTTTCCGGACGACGGAGGGGCCGACGAGGTGGTGGCCGCCATAGGAGAGCAGATCCTGGCCCCCACGGACGTCTCGCTGTCAAACTGGACGGTTCGCCCCAGCAGCGGCTGCAGCGTGGTCCTGGCCACCGCGGGAGTGAGCGTGGACGGCTACACCCTGACCCTGGCGGCGAACCCGTGGAACATCGTGCGCACCTACAACTTGACCCCGGGCCGAGAGCTGCTCTTCGCCTGCCGCTACCGGCTCGGCACGGCCTCCAACTTCGTGGTGTACATGTCCGAGGCCGACAACGTCTACGACCCGTTGTACGGCAGCTTCGTGGGCGACCAGGGCGCCTGGAGCACGGCCAAGATGTACTTCACAGTGCCCTTCGGCGCGCACTTCCAGGCGCCGGGCCTGCCCAACCAGACGGCTGGAACGGTGGACGTCTACGGCCTCCAGATCCTGGACGCAACCCTGGAGACTGGCAACACAGCGGAGGAGGACACGGCGGCCTCGGCACTGCTGCTGAAGCACGAGTTCCTCGACGGAGGGGCCGACGACGTCACGCTGGCCACCCTGGGCGAGGTGCTGCTGGAGCCCACGCTCACCACGCTAGGAAATTTTCTGGTGCGCTCCAACAGCCAGAGCTCGTGGCCTCGGCCAGCTTCGCGGTGGGAGGCTTCCAGCTGGAGGGCTACGCCATGACCCTGAGCGCCTTCGCCTGGAACATTGTGCGCACCTACACGCTGACGCCGGGGAGACGCTACTCCTTCGGCTGCCGGTACCGGCTGGGCACGGCCTCCAACTTGGTGATGTACGTCAGCGCGGCCGACAACGACTACGTGGGCGTCACCGGCACCTTCCTCGGCACGCCCTCGCAGGGTGTCTGGAGCACGGCGCGCCTGGACTTCTCGGTGCCGCCGGGCGGAATCGCGAAGCTGCACTTCGGAGCCTTCGGCGGGTCTATCCCCGGGCTGGTGCAGCAGTCGGCGGGCACGCTGGACCTGTACAGCATGCAGATCAGGGCCAGCGCCTTCGAGGGAGATTCTGTCTCAGTAACGACCTGCTGGCGGACTCGCTGGCCCTCACGGGCTCGGCCACGCTGGACGGGCTCACCGCGCAGGGCAACGTGGGCTGCGACCAGCTGCTGTGCAACGACGTGAACTGCACGGACGTGTTCACAACGGGCGTGGACGCCTCGGGCGCAGTCTCCTGCGCAGCGCTCACAGCCACAGGCACCGTCGCCGGGGCCGCGCTGTCGTCCACGGGGGCCGTGTCAGGCAGCTCGCTGAGCATCAGCGGCGCGGCCAGCGTGGGCCTGCTGAGCTCCGCCACAGGAATCACGGGCAGCACGCGCACCATCAACAACACGGCCAACGCCGGGAACTTCACCACGGTGGGCGACGTGTCCACGGGGACATTGACGGCCTCGGGCGCAGCAACCGCGGCGAGCTTCGCAGCCACCGGCGCTCACGGGCGCCACGCTGACGATCACCGGTGCGGCCTCCGCGGGCCCGCTGGACTGCGAGAGCCTGGACTGCACCTTCACGGCCACGAGCGGCGGAGTGTCGACGGGCAGAGTGGTGTGCGGCGACGTGACGAGCTCGGGCACGGTCTCCGCGCCGCAGCTCTTCGCGTCCAACACGCTCACCGTGACCAACACCTCCGACTTCTCGGACGATCTCTTCCTGACGAAGAACTGGGCGGGCTGGAGCTAGCTGCAAGTGTCCAACAACAGCGCGGCCTCCGACAGCGGCCCGGAGCTGCGGCTGCTGGGCAACCAGAGCGCGCGGGTCTTCCTGGAGCGGGACGGCGGGGCGCACCAGTGCGAGCTCATCATGATCAACGACGAGGCGCTGGTGCAGACGAAGAGCCTCTCGACGCAGCTGTCCTTGACCACGAACCAGAGGAACCCCGGCTGCCTCGTGATCGCGGCAACACGGGCAACGTGGTCTGCAACACGAGCTTCACGAATTTGTCGGACAGCCGGGTGAAGACGGAGATGGCTGAGGCCGACGTGGCGGAGCTCAAGCAGCTCTTTGACTCCGTGGAGGCCAAGCAGTACAAGCGCCCGGACATGAACGAGGACCTGAGGCTGGGCTTCGCCGATTTCGCAGGAACAAAGTGGAAGAATTTGACGGGCACCGCCCGGTGGAGCGACGGCACGGAGATGGTTACTCTCGACTACTCTCACCTCACCAGCGTGCTGTGGGGGGTGTGCAAGGGCTTCCAGGCCCGGCTGGACGAGGTGGAAGCCTGGCAGGGGGGGCCAAAGAACAAGTAGAAAAAAATTGTGCATGCCTCCTCGTTCTAGAGGACCCTTGCTCAAGCTCCTTTTTGGGGCGACAAGTAGGTGTGTGCAGGCCTCCCTGCATCCAGGGAACCTTGAGCAAGCTCCTTTTTGGGGCAACAAAGCTGTTTTTTAAATGGAGGCACCTGGCCGACGACTTCAACGTGAGGGACCCGCGGAAGCTGTACCAACTCGCCAGGCAGCGCGACCTCGACGTGACGCAGGCCATGGCCTTCGAGGCGCTGAAGGCCGACGTGGGCCGGCAGGTGCAGGCGCCCCGGCCGCGCGCGCTGGGCAAGTCGGCCGCCGAGGGGCCGAACGACCGGCTGCAGGCCGACCTCATCGACTTCAGCCAGAACACGCGGGGGAAGACGAAGTACGGCCTGGTGGTGATGGACGTCTTCACCCGGGAGGCCGCCGTGGAACCTCTGCAGAACAAGAACGCCGAGACGGTGGGCCGGGCCACCAAGCGCGCCGCGCGGGAGCTGACGGGGGACGACGGGAACTTCGTGGTCACGACAGACCTGGGCAACGAGTTCGCCACGCTGGACCGGGAGCTGCCCGGAAGCCGTGCACCGCACGAAGCGGCCCGAGGACCGCAACGCCATTGCCGTGGTGGACCGGGGCATCCAGACGCTGAAGAAGGACCTGGCCACGAGGGTGGCGCGCAAGGGCGGGCAGTGGAGCGACCACTTCGAGCGGGCGGCCGGGGCCTACAACGCGCGGCCCCACGAAACGGTGCACGGCGCGCCCGAGGACGTGGAGAAGCAGCCGGCCACGGAGTTCAGGGTCCTCCAAGACAACGCCGACAAGTTCCAGCACAACAAGGACCTCACCGAGCGGCGCGTGAAGGCGGTGGAGGACGCGGGCGCCTTCCGAGTGCCGACGAACGCGGCGAGGAGCTTCAACCCTCAGTACGGCGACGTGCAGCAGCTGGGGGCCGTGGACTCCATGACCGTCCGCAGCACGGAGGGCCGGGAGACCCTGCTGAAGCTGGCGCTGCAGGGCAGCGGCGACGCGGCGGGCCGGCTGACGAGACGGGGCAGGCCGGCGGCTGTGAGGCAGCTGGACGACTTCCTGGCGCCTCCGAGGCCCAGGACCCTCGACTAGCCTCCTTTGAAAATGATTTTTTTGAGGAACGACCCGGCCTCCTCGATTCCGAGGAAGCTTGATCGGACCCGTTTTTGGCCCCAAAAAAAACTTTGATCACACTCAAGTTGGAATTGCCTGATCCTGATCGAGCGAAAAAACTAGAAAAAAAAGGTTTTGAGACATTGCGCGGGCCCGTCGGAACTCCCGGGGCCTGCTCATCTCCTTGGGTTTGGGGTGCTCGGGAAACCAACGGGTTGGGCGAACCAATCAAATGAGCGGGGCTAGCGCAAAACCGTGCAAAACGAGCTATTCTTACAGGCCGTATATGAATATACACCCTGTAAGAGTAGCATTTCGTGGCGCAAAACCGTGCAAATGTCCCTTTAGGGTTTGGGGTCCTCGGCAAACCAAACGGGTTGGGCGGACCAGTATCAAGCCCAAACGGGTTGGGCGAACCACTCAAATGAGCGGGGGCTGGCATGGGCAAACCGCGCAAAACCGTGCAAATGTCCCTGCGTTAGGGTTTGGGGTGCTCAAGACACAAAAAAAAACGCCAGACCCGCAAAGGTCCTACTGAGACATTGAGACAAGTGAGACAAGTGATTGTGTTTGTCTCACTTGTCTCACTTGTCTCAACGGAGGCTTCCATACCAAAAACAACAGCCAAATTGGCCGGTTTCGTGCTTGTCTCACTTGTCTCAGTGGTCTCCACGGAGGATTTCAAGTAAAAAAACAACCAAATTGGTCGGTTTTGTGTTTGTCTCACTTGTCTCACTTGTCTCAATGTCTCAGGGGAACTTCTCTGGCTCTGAAAAAAAACGGCCTGTCTCCATGGTAGAAAAAAAAGGTAAAGAATGGCTGGTTTCGCGTTTGTCTCACTTGTCTCCGTTGTTGTCTCGATTGTCTCAACTCAAGGTTTCATGCAGCAAGGCGGCCAAATTGGCCGGTTTCATGTTTGTCTCAGTTGCATCAGTTGTCCCAACACAAGGTTTCATGCAGCAAAACAATCAAAAAAATGGACGTTCTTTGGTCTCAATCCATGCCAATTGTTTCCATTGCAGGTTTCATGCAAAAAAAGTCAAAAAAATCGCTGGGTTTGTGTTGTCTCACTTGTCTCACTTGTCTCACTTGTCTCAGTGAGACTTCTCTGGCTCCGAGAAAAAAAAGTGCTGTCTCCTTCCTGACATGAGAAAAAAATGGCCGGTTTGTGCTTGTCGCAACGTCTCGGCGCAACTCTTGCAGTCCACAATCCAAATGCTTTTGAGCCCCTGATACGACGGAGCGTGTCGCGCAGTCAGTCGACGATGGAACACAAGCTCTCACGCTAGCGCCAAGCGTCTCGATCGCTTCCGTCTTTTTTTTCTGTTCGTCTCTCTGTTCGCTGCAAGATGAAACAGGGATAGTGCACTGTACCTGATTGCACATGTCCCTCCTCCTCCCCTCACTCAGTTGCCGCCTCCAACTGCAGGCTCTGCGCCACTCACCAAGCGAACGAAGCTGGCCTCACTGTCCTTGGAGCCGTCCGTCTTCGGGAAGATGTAGATCAAATAGTAGGTGTTTTTGCGGCGGCCGTCCAGCGTGGCGCCGCTGCGTCCCCTCTCCAGGACGCCCAGTTGCTTCAGGAGCTCGCCGCACCGGACTTCGCGGCGCCTGCCGTCCTCCACCGGCGCGTTTCTCTCGACAAAGGCATGCAACGCCTTGTGCACCTCCTCACGTGGCGTTGCACCTCCCCTTGGGGTCATGCATCTCCTCTTCCAGGAAAGCCAGGCATTTGGGTGGGATAGGGCCGATGCGCCTGCGGGGGTTCTGCCACAGTAGCTGATGGAAGACGGCGTAAAACAGGGCGAAGTACTCTGCCTTGCCCTCGGATGTCTCCAGCGTGGCCTCAATGTCCTTCCACTGTGCGTGGTTCGCTTCCACGGGATGGTCGTGGAACACCGACACATGCTCCACAACGTTGGTCCGTTCCCTGTTGGCCAGATCGTTGACAAGGGCTGGGGGGTCGTTCGATGCGAGGAAAAGGAGGAACTGGGGCTTGAACTGCACCATCTTCTCGTACATGTCTCTGCCCGTGAGCTCACTCTTCGGGTCGGTGAACACCTTGTACAACTGCTGCCTGATGGGCTCGCATTTGTCGATCTCCCTGATCGCCACGAAGCCAGGCGGAGGACAACGTCCGGGTCTGGACGGAGTTGGAGGCGGAACGGCCTAGCAGGCCGACCATGAGATCCTGTACCGGGAGAACGCGGGCCTCAGGAGCCAGGTTGCGAAGCTTGAGGTTGGGGGGAGTTGGGTCTTGAGTGTGTTGATTTTTTCCTGTGACAGGCATCGGTCCCAGCCAGCAAACGGCCCAAGGCGACGTGCCCTGCACAGTGCGTACGCCGGTGATGGAGCGCTCGGGTCCCTGATTCGGGACAGTGTCTGCGCTGCCATCGAGACAGCGTAGCTCCCCAAGACAGCCTGCATGATGTTGCACAGCGTGTCTTTTCCGTTCCTACCCACGCCCCTGGTCCACAGGGCTGCCGCTTCACGAGCAGCGACAGCTCAAACAATGTGGACTCCCAGTCATCCACCGTCCAGGCGTGCACCACCTGCAACGCAGGGATCTTCTTGCACAGGGCGTCAAGGCGGGCTTTCACCTGCTCACCGAGGGTGTATTCCACCCCCCTCTTCTCCGCATCCTCCTGCTGACGACGCACCTCGGCCAGAACGGCGTAGAGCTCGGCGCAAACCTCCGTGGACCACCAGGCAGGCCATTGATGCTCCCAGTTAGTGCTGCGGGTGATTTTGAATGCGGGGCTGATGGGAGACCACTCCAGCGTCTCACTGTTCAGCACTTTGCCGGAGAAGTTCAAGTACTTGCGGCAGGACTCTCCGTCCACATCGAAGGCAGCGGAGGACTCTCCCAGATTCGATTTCAGCCAGTTGGCAACGCCGTTCTGGAAAGTCTGGCCAGTGAACTCCCAGCGAGTGTTGCTCCGAAACCCTGCATCCTGTTCCGAGGTGGTCCATTCGATGTGGTAGTCCGTCAAGTCGCGGATCAGAATCTTCTCACTCGCCTTCCTCAAAGAGTCCATTGCGCTGTCTCCAGTCAGGATCCAAGTTTTCAGTGTGGCGCTGAACCAGGCTTTGTGACCAGTGTCGACGATGAACTTGAAGATGTCCTTCAACGAGTATGGGATCTTGCTGGAAACCGCCGGGCTCCTCAGCACGACTTCCCCGAACAGGCCGTGGTACTGCAACGAACCTTTGAAGGCTTGGCGCACGATACCGTGGTGCTCAAGCCAACGCGAGTCCACCTGGTCAAACATGCGCTCCAGGCCGGGGCTGCCGCTGCGCATCACTCTCGCTGCCGCCTGCAGAGCCTCTCGTAGCGGCATCATCGGCTTCACAGTGTAGCGGAAGCCGCACAGCGCACTCTCGATGAGCCCGCGTAGTTTCTCCGGCTCGTCCGGCCAGTAGAGGAACAGCCCGTCGTGCTCGAAAGCCAGGACGGCTGCGTTGTGATGCTCTCCCAGGAGCAGCACGACCTTGTCAATCAGCTCCCTCTCTCGCGCAGTGTTGAGGGCGTACTGCAAATACTCCACGGGGCGCGCCGTCCGTTGCCGCAGCTGGGCAAGTAGCTGGGTGTGGTTCTGGCAATCAGCCTGCCGCATGGCAGCCATCTCTGCTGCGAACCGCTCGGCAAACTGCTCTGTCGCGAACTCCCCAAGTCGGTGCGTGCGCTTCCAGGCCAAGATCGACCCACCGTACAGAAGACGCAGGAAGAGCTGTTTGGCCACGGTGCGGTCCGCATGTGTGTCGCGGAGGATGCGCTCCCTGTCCTGGAAGTATGTCTCCAGCGCCGAGTCGGCCGCTGGCTGATGGCGTTCGCGCAGCACTGCCAAGTGGCAGTTCTCCAAGTCAAAGACGAAATGCCCCGGTAGTCCCGAGCGAAGCAGTGACCGGAGCCAATTCGGCTGGGCGAAGGTGCTGGTTGCGAAGTGAGCCGTGACGATCCCCAACGGGCTCTTAAACTCCTCCTCTTCCTCCTCTCCCTTCTTCTTCTTCTTGGGAGCCTCCACGTGACCGGAGAAACGCCTGCCTTTTTTGCCGATGGCGACCATCCCCTTCTCCTCCCTGTACGTAGTGCGAAAGCACCTCGCCCCGGCCACCTTCCCACGTGTGCACTGTGCCAGGATATCTCCACAGATGCGCTTCACCGTCGGGCCGTTCCCGTTGCCTGTCCTGAAGACCTTGCTGAGAACACGCTTGCCAATCTCTTTGACTGCCACCGGGTTGACCCTGTCGAAGAGGATTTGGGGCACCTCCTCGTTCGCATCCGCCTGCTCGTCCAGGTGATCGTCATCAGGCTGCTCCACAATCGGATCCTCGTCGACGAAGTCGTGCGAGATATTTGCCGCCGCCTCCAACTCCGCGGCCTCAGCCTGTTCTGTCCACGGGCACGCCACCACACCCTGTTCCTCCTCCTCGGAATTGTCGTCATAGACTTCGACCGCCTCCGGCACATCGCGCATCAACTCCGCCACTCCTGGCGAGATGTTGCGCCAATCCTTGACACCCACGCCCTTTGTCAGGCGAGCCAGAGCGACCACAGGGGACCCCCGTGCACTTGCCAGAAAACTGAGCAAGTGTGTCGCTGTCGAGTCACCGGAGGCGACGGCGTCCTCCAACAGCATCCACTGCAGCTGCATCTGTGCACTCAACGGAGTGAAGCCCTCTCCAAGCACGTCCACGAGTCGCTGCAGGAGCACCGACCTGCGCAGGTCCGTGTCGGCCTCGTTCGTCAGCAGCTGGCAGATCTCATCAGCTCGGGCATCCCCGCCGATCACCATCTCCTGTAGTTGGGACCAACGCTCCATGCCTGTCAGCTACCTTGTGGCTCGTCTACTGATCGAATTGAGTAAGTCTCTGCGGCGTGAGACGTCTGTGTCCCTTGCGATTCGACCGGTAAGAGCCCCATTGAGACATTGCCGTGGCTCTCTTCACGTCATCCAATCCATTCGGAAAAAAAACGTTTTTTGAAACATTTCACCACGACAAGTCGCCACCAAAGACAGTTTTTTTTCCAGGCCCAGGGAAGTCCTGCTGAGACAAGTGAGACAAGTGAGACAAGTGAGACAAACGAAAAAACGGCCATTTGGCACCGTTTTTCGGGACAGTTCTGTATGGTCTCATTTGTCTCACTTGTCGCAATTGTCCGAATATCTCAGCAAAATTGCTCACAAACAGGCGAACCTGCCACCCTTGTGTTCGTCTCACTTGTCTCGCTTGTCTCAATTGCTCAAAAGCAGCAAAATCGACAGGTGTCGTGATTGTCTCACTTGTCTCACTTGTCTCAATTGCTCAAAAACAGCAAAAAAACGACAGGTTTCGTGTTTGTCTCACTTGTCTCACTTGTCTCAATGTCTCAGTAGGACCTCTGTGGCTCTGGAAATCACTTGTCTCACTTGTCTCACTTGTCTCAGTGGGATCTGTGGCTCCGGGAAGTGAGCGAGCCAGTATCAAGAGTCGTTGGGCGAGCCAGTACTAAGGGCCGTGGGCGAACTCGTACGAAGGGGCCGTTGGGCGAACCAGTACTAAGGGGCCGTTGGGCAAGTCAGTACTAAGGACCGTTGGGCGAATCCGGTCTAAGGGTCGTTGGGCGAACCCGTACTAAGTGCCGTTGGGCGAATCCGTACTATCCTACGTGCCCGCTCGGCACCGTGCCCGCTCGGCACCCCTAAGTGCCTGCTCGGCACTGTGCCTGCTCGGCACTCCTAAGTGCCCGCTCGGCACTGCCTACTCCTAATCTAGGCGCCTGTGGTCAGCCGGTCATAAGCGGACTGCCTCTCCAGCATGCGCAGGGCGCGCTCTTGGCTGAGGGGCCTCAACCGGTGGTGCCTCAGCCGGTGGTGCCTCAGCCGGTGGTGCCTCCGCCGGTGCCTCTGCTGGTGCCGTTCAACCTGCCGCAGGAGTGAGCGTGGCCGGCTCGACGGAGCTCATCCTGATGGAGGAAAAAGCGCTCGGGCCCGCGGCCTTTTTTTTTTTAAGTGCCGAGCGGGCACTTAGGAGTGCCGAGCGGGCACTTAGGAGTGCCAAGCGGGCACTTTAGGTAAACGTGCCGAGCGCTTGAAAAGCACGCGAAAAAACGCAACCCCGGCGTTCTTCTTCGGTGGATCGGAAGGCTTTTTCGATGAATCCACCTGTCAATCAACAACATGGGCAACTGCAGAGACACCGCAAACCAAGAGGGCATGAGAAGGCAATGACTAACGGGCCAGAAAGAAGGAAGTCCCCTGACCTTCTCCTGGAACTTCTTCTGAAACTCGTCCTGCCGTGGCAGAGCAAGAACAAGAGAGTAGACAAACCGACCACAGCTCCTTCTCCGCCTTCACCACCTTCAACTCCTCCTCCAGCTCCTGATCTTCGAAGGTGGCCTTCAAGTGGCGAGATGATGCAACGCTTAAAAAAAAACAGTAATAGGCCTATGAGCCTTCTTCCAGGAGCCTTTATACGTGTCCTCGTGTCGCAACAAAATGCATGTGATGCCCCCACGAACTCAACGAGCAGTCTCCTGAGGGACCTCCCACCCGGCCGAGCTGCCGGAGCCGCCCCACTCCTGACGTGAAAAAACGAAGAAAAAAAAACGAGGCAAATCGGGCCTGGGACGGCTCCCACCACCCCCAGCACTCCTCCTACAGCAACGCACCAAAAAAAACGGCACTAAAAAAAACCCGAACGTCCTCCGCCACTCCACCAGCTCCACTCATGGCCGCCTCAACGCCGACACCAAGGGCGATTTCCTGGAGCTGACCCTGGCCGCGGCTGCGCAGGTGCTGGATTGCGCTGAGAAGCCCCTCGGAAACAGCAGCAACCCTCGGCTCGGAAACAGCAGCAACCCCTCGGCTCGGAAACAGCAGCAACAGCATCAGCATCAACAGCAGCATCAGCAGCAACATCAGCATCAGCGCCTGCCCAAGCGAGGGCTCGGAGCCAGCCAGTCGAACGTCTGCGCCCAGGGATCTCTGGTCATCGCGCGGCACCCGTCCTTCGTGTAGGGGCAGGGGAACCCAAAGTCAAGTCCGCTGACTTGGATGCCCCCCGTGTGGGACAGGCTCTTCCTGTCTCTGCGAGGATGCAGCAGCAGCGCCGAGAACAAGCCGCTCAGATCCAGCAGCTCGGAGATGCGCTCCACCGCCTCCAGCGCATCCGGAAGGGCGGCAGGCTGCTTGGCTGCCCACTCCTCCATGGTGACCAGCAGGCTCTCGCTCAATGCGTGCTGCATGGCGACGGTGCAGGCCACACTCAAACGCTTCGGCCCATGCGAACAAATACTTCCCTAGACCGTCTCCACAATGATCCGTCTCGGACCAGGGTATGTTTTTTTTAGATCCGTCTTGGACCTGGGAATAAAGGTCTCCTACTCTCTCTTTAGAGGGGGTTTCCCAAATGGATTCTATTCCACCTGGGAGGCTCCTAGCACTTGTCCGTCCAGCATTTGACCTCTCTCTTTAGAGGGGGGTTCCCAAATGGATTCTATTCTACCTGAGACCTCGTCCTGCGAAGGATTCGAAGTCTAAAACGCTGCGTGCAGGCGTGTGGCTGCAAAATAATGACCCCTAGATATGCGCCGCAATTTGGCTCCAGGTTGCATTTCAAGCGAGCAAACCTTTGCAGGGCTAAGAAAAAAACAAAAAAAAAAAGAAAACAAGGGGTCCCAAAAAAAGGGGTCCCCGAAAAAAGGGAAAAGGGGTTTCCTTTGGCAAAGCATGACATCGCTTGAAATGCAACCTGGAGCCAAATTGCGGCGCATATCTAGGGGTCATTATTTTGCAGCCACACGCCTGCACGCAGCGTTTTAGACTTCGAATCCTTCGCAGGACGAGGTCAAATGCTGGACGGACGAGTGCTAGGAGCCTCTCAGGTAGAATAGAATCCATTTGGGAAACGCCCTCTAAAGAGAGAGATACCGGGAATGCAGGGATTCCCTGCAGAATCCCTGCATTGAACTCCCCCCACGATTTGATTCAGAGTGCGCCTAAGAGAGCTAGGGTTGTCCGCAGTGGGGGATTCTACCTCCCACTGCGGACAACGCGGACAACCCGATTTGCTGCGGCGGCACGGTGCCGCGTGTACGCCAAGCCGCTGAACCCCCACAGTCCCCGGGCTCCTTGCTATATGTGCTATATGTGCTATATGGGTCCACGCCAAGCCGCGGAACCTCCACTCTCCCCCGGGTCCTTGCTATATGTGCTATATGTGCTATATTATTCTGTACGCGCTTTAAAATGTACTATATGTGCTATACAATGCATATTTGGTACATGTTGGAGATGCTATGTGTATAGTACACAGGCTTCTATACCATATAGCACATATAGCACATATAGCAAGGAGCCGGGGGAGAGTGGATGTTCAGTGGCTTGCCTTGTGAGACCCATATAGCACATATAGCACGTATAGCAAGGACGCGGGGGACTGTGAGGGTTCGGCGGCTTGGTGCCTGCCTGGCATAGCCTCCCTGCCGCGCCAGCTGCCCGGCATCGGAGCCCTGCCGAGCCCAAGGTCGGGATTCTTCTTACCGAGGTCGGATTTCCGACTTCGGTTTCTTACCGAGGTCGGATTTCCGACTTCGCTTTTTGCCCGAAAAACCCATCACCGGGCCAGCGCCGAAGGTGTGTCAGCGATGCCGTCCTCGCAGCATCGCTGACAGAGTGTTTTTTTCACCATTCACACGCCCAGCCGTCAATCCTGGCGTGGGCGCAGGAATGCTCCACTCAATCCTGCTGTGGCAACAGGATTGCTTCAACCATTCCTGTGCTGACAGCAGGATTGCCCCGGTGCACTACAAGCAGCTCGGGCTTGGAACTGTTCTTGCCCGAGCACAGGCTTGTGATGGAGTCGGCCCGGCTGTAGAGCTCCCGGGCCTCCGGCACGTCGTTGACGCTGACGACGAAGGGCAGGCCACTCGCGAAGAGTGCGTCTCGCAGCTCCGTGTGAAAGACCAGGTCGTGGCCCCCTCTCGTACCATAGTAGTTCATGCTGCGGCCGGGGAAAATGTAAGGAGGGTCAGCGTAGATGCACTGGTGCGCCAGGCAGGGCAGAGCGCGTAGATAGGCTAGCGCATCCTGGTGCCGCACGGTCACATTGCACGGTGGCTGCAGACGCCGCACGCTGCTCAGTGCCAGCGGCCTCTGCTGTGCGAAGGAGCCCCGCTTTCCCGAGAAGCTGTTGCGCAGCAGGACGTACGCGCAGGCAGCCCGGCGCCCGCCGCGGCCTCTCTGAGCGCCCGGCAGAAGGTGCCCGAAGTAGAAGAGCCTGTTCACCCTGCGCCCCACCAGGCGCAGCAAGGAGCGCAGGAAGACCGGGTCTTGCCTCAAGTAGCAGCGGCGCAGGTTTGCGACGGGCTCGAAGGCGTCGACGCCACGCACCTCCAGGCCCGGACGCCGGGCGGCGAGGTAGTACTCCAGCTTTCCAGAACCGAAGAAGGGAGAGTGAAGCACGGCGACGTCCCCAGCAGCCGGTCCATGTGAGGAGCTAACCACGCTTTGCTTCCAAAGTACTTCAGCTGCGTACCAGCCCTTTGGTTTATCCCAGAAAACATTGGAAGCGCGTCTCTACACAGCGATGCACTCCCAGACTCGCCGCCCGGATTGCCCGGAAAACTCCGTCAGCGTCCTGCTGTGTAGCAGTGCGCTGACAGACTCGCCGCCCGGCTTCCCGGCTTCAAATTTGGCAAGTAACGCAAAGGAAATGGGGAAGATCAAGCTGTTTCCTACGACAGAGTATGGCAGTAAGCAGCCCTCTGACCCCGTGGTGCCCCTGGTGCCATGCACGGGCATCTTCCTCGGGCCATCAAAATCGGGCAAAACCGTGGCTC